TGGTTCTTTCAGCTTAAGAATTCGAAATAGTCCAATCATTGTCGAGTGTAATCTTTGGACTGGACTATTACTATTAGAATTGCCAGGTGTCGTAGAATGGATACTAATATTATGTAATTTGCAATAATCTAATAGCAAGGAATGTTTAAATTATGTGCCATTGTCACAAGTAATTTGTTGAGGCAGGCCATGATGGCTTAAGAAGATTGATATATTATCAAGGATGGTTGCTGTGCAAGCAGGTTCCAATGGGTATGCCTAGCGTAACGCGAAATACGTCTATTATTGTGAGAAATTTAATATTACAAATTTGAAATGTGTCTATATGAATAGACTCTAGAGGTTGTGTTGGAGTAGGTGTCAATGCAAATTTAATCTTAGGTGGATGTCTATCATATTGCGTTTGCTGGCATATAGGGCAATTATTTATGTATTCGGTAAGGTCCATTTTCATATTGGGCCAGTAGTCTAATTTTTTAAGAGCCATTTGAGCTTCATTTATGCCTCGATGGCATGTTTAGTCCCGTGATGATATTTAATTAACTCTTTTTGTCTATCTTTGTCTGTCACATCAGTTAATAGTAATTTTGACAAAGCAAGTTGGTACGTGTGATTTATAAATGTGTTTGGGAGAATTACGGATATTTGGTCCGCAAGGTTAATATCCGATTTCTTAAAGTACAAGCAAAATAATTGTTTGGGATTTACATATTCTTTAAAAAATTTAATAATTTCTTCTTGGAAATTTTACGATAAGTGTACCGTATATCGGTGTTTGATTTCAAAAATTTTTGATGTAATTACATGATAGCGTTCGTTCTGTTCTTGTATTAAAATTACTTGATTAGCATAATTATTAATACAATTTTCTGAATGCACGGTCTCATTATCACTTTCTTTTGGTATTACTTATTGGTGGTCTAATTTGAACGTCTGAAATAATGGATATATATCATTTGCATTTTTGCTGGTTGCTTGGCGATCTTGTCCTTCGATTTCTTCTGGATTGAAAACATCTTTGAGTAAATCTAGTTCTTCTATAGTCGTATCTCGATTTTCAGCTGTTTGCAAATATTTTTCAATTTCATTATTTATGTCGCCAGGGCTGGGATTCTGTAACGAATAGAGAAATTTTCTCTATCTCTATTGACGTCCCCTCTCTATTGATTTCGAGAAGAGAGAAGAAGATAGCAGGTGCCATAGCGATAGGGATAACGATCTCTATCCGTTACAGAGTTCCAGCCCAGGGTTGCCAATTATTGATTCGTCTTCAGTTAGAATGATCTCCATGCGAGATAAAGCGTCCGCGTTAAGATTTTATTTACCTTTCTTATATCGAATTTCATAGTCGAACTCTTCCATTTTCAATCTCCATATGACTAATCGCGAACCCGCTTCTTTGACGTTAAATAAATATTGGAGTGGCTTATGATCGGTTGCGATGGTGAATTTTCATCCTAACAAGTATAGCCGAAAATATGTCGTAGCCCATACTATCGCCAGAAGCTCCTTCTCGATTGTCGAATAATTCATTTCTGCTAGATTTAAGGTCCTAGAAGCGTATGCTATTGGTAGATTACTTCCGATTTGGCCTTGACTAAGCACAGCTCCAACCGCGACATTAGAGGCGTCTGTTGTTAACATGAATGGTTTCTCGAAATCTGGGTATTGTAATACTGGATCGTTGCATAGCACGTTTTTACATGTTTCGAAGGCTTCTAGAAATTCTGTATTAGGTTCGATGGTAGCTCCTTTCCTGAGGCATTTTTTGAATAATTTTGTCACCTTTGCAAGTCCTTTTGAATCGTCTGTAGTATCCTAACAGGCCTTAGAATGATTTTATTTTTTTTGGTGTCTTTGGAATTGGAAATTTCTGGATTGCTATTAGTTTCCTAGGATTTGGTTTAATTCTATATCTTTTGTAATCACATGTCCAAGAAATTCAACTTCTGTCCTGAGAAATTCTGATTTGTCAAGTTGCACTTTTAACCTTGACTCCTTCAATTTTTCAAATACTAGTTGGAGGTCTTTTATATATTCTTCCAGGCTGCATAAAAAGATGATGATGTCATCCATATACACAAGGCATACTTTTCCCTGTAAGTCCCGTAGAATGTTGTCCATGACGCGCTGGAACGTTGCAGGTGCATTTTTTTATCCGAAAGGCATTCTCAGATACTCATAATGCCCGTTCTCTACGTTGAAGGCTTTTTTCTCAATAGATCCTGAGTCCATCTCTATTTGGTGGAATCCCGAGGATAAATCTATGGTAGAAAAATAAGTGCATCTTCCTGACCTATCCAAAATATCGTGAGTATTTGGCAGTGGATAGCGATCGTCTATAGTTTTTTGGTTACATCCTCTATAGTCTACGCATATTCTCCATTTTTGGAATCTAATTTTTTGGGGACAACCCATATAGGAGTGCTCCATGCATGGGCGTCGTTTGGTGGGGGGGGGGGGGGGCAAGGGGGGGCATTTGCCCCCCCCTAAAAATAGTCTTTTGAACAAGAAAGCAGTAAAAGAGAGTTCGTATTCGTATTGCTTTTTTCCATTTTTTCAAAATTGTTAGTTACTTTGAGAAATTGGCTGAAATTTTCATTACATTCAATGGAATTGAATTTCACTTGACTTAGGACCGGTATTATAAAACACTGAACCGATGGTAGAGTTTCAACCTTCGGTTGAATCCTATCAATTTGCATGGAGTCAACCGAAGGTTGAAACTCAATCATCGATCAGTGTTTTATAATACCGGCCATTAGGAAATTACCTAAACAAATGATGCGGACAGTGAATTTGTTCCGGAAAAAATACCATCATTTCAAACTAAATATCGATATCAAATAAGTACGTTAAAATGCTCAAAAAGGGGCGTGGTACCAAACAAATTTAGCCTACGGCGGTTGCCTGCGGCGCTAATGGAAATGGTCTTATTATAATACTGCCCCCCCCCCTGAGAAACATCGTAACGACGCCCATGGCTCCATGGACTTTGGCTCTGTCGGATTATTCCTTCATCTAACAGTTTGTTTATTTGCCTTTGAACCTCTTTTTTATGGACAAATGGATACCGTTATGTTCTTAAATGTACTGGTATTCCATCGGTGGTTTTGATGACGTGTTTTATTTTATTTGTAGAAGTTAATTTTTCTCCTTCCTGGTGAAAAATATCTGAGAATCTTTCAAAAAGTTTGAAGAGACTGGATTTTCCTTCAGTATTGAAATGATCAGATCGAATCAAACTTTGTATATTTATGGGGTCTTGTTTTCTGTGGGATTTTTCTGGCAAGAGATCTTCCATGTGGAAAAAATCGAAAGTTTCTTTGTGAAAATCGGGTAAAGTCCAGACCTGTAGGGGTTCTATAAACTGTAATGTTATAGGATTGTCAGTATAGTTGTAAATTTCTGTTTGTGCATGTGTTTTTTGCCGTAGTAAGCGTTTCGGGAAAATAAAGATGATCTATGACGCTTTCAGTTATAATGATATCTACATTATTTTGTGAGACTGGTACGTTCGTGGTAATGACCTCGTGAGCGTTTAATGTGATGCTGTGTATTTCTTTATTCGGTTCTCTGTAAATGATGGATTTAGTCACATTTTCGCTGACTAATTTTTCATTTATTAAGTCAATTACGAAATTAAATCTTAATAATTCGTTCAGTAAAATAATGGCTTCAAAATAATAATGAAAATCAAAGAGAATAAGAGTTATATCGGAGTCATTTCTGAATTCAGGGAAAGTGGGAATTTTGGCTTTGAAAAGGGTTTCCTTTTCACCTATACCTCTATTCATTTTCGTAGGATGATTATAAACTATCTCCGGAAAATATTGTTCTGCAATAGATGGTCGTATAATAGAATGGTAACAACCATCAGTGTCGATTAAAAGTCTTATAGGTGGATTTTGTATCGTAATATATGGCAAGCTGTTGTTTATTCCTGTATGCATATCAAATGTCAGTTACCAGGGTTCGTTGGGCTGGCTATCTGAAAATCTTCAGTGTTTTTTGGCTGTTCACTCATAGAATTGCTGAGCATTCTCATAAGAATTTGGGTAAAATGCGTCAGGCATATTATAATATTGGGAATAATCTCCATAAAATGAGTTAGTGGCGGTACTTTTGCTCTCATTTGACAGCCGTTAAAAATAATCAGGGGTTTGAATGTGCTCTAACCCCATCATACTTATAGACCTTGGCCCATGCAAAACTTTAACGACGTATCAAATTCGTTAATCGAGAGCAAAAGTATCGGCCCTTAAAGTATTGAGATTGGTATTGATCAGCAAGATTTATGGCTTGATATTCTTCAGGAAGGCCTTCTGTAGGTATTGATATGAATCCTGAAGCATCAGTATCAGTAGTTTCAACAGGCTGTTCTGTTTGGGTTTCATCAATTTGGTCCAATTCTTGCGAAACGAAGTTTCGAGGACCCGATGACTTAAAGAATTGATTACTTTGCATATTCTAATTTGGTAAAGTATATCGAGATCTTGTGGTCATTGGTTCCGGTTTATTTGTGGGTACCTGTCCTGTTGGCTTAAATACATTTTTCGGTGTGCCAAAAACCTGCTTATTAGTAGGGTAATTTCTTGGAATATATCGTGGCTGAATGTTTATAGGGCCTCTTGGAAATTGGGCTGGTTGAAAATTATTGGTTTGATTGGGTATTTGGAATTGCATATTTGGTCTAAATTGAGTGTTGAAGTTTGGCATCCTATTTGCCACTTGAAAGTGGTTGTAATTAATTTTATTTGGGTAATTTTGATAGTAATTCGGTGTTTGATGTTGGGTTTTATTACCTATAGGCTTTGTTTGCAAGGTGGGAGTTTTATTATAGATATTTTGCATATAGTTAAAATTGTCGTCTTCGTTCACTTGAGTCATGGCTGTTTCGATAAAATCAGTGTTTTTAAGTCTGATTATACTTTGTAGATGTCCGGGTAAGCCTCTAATAAATGTACGTAACCACACTTGATCATATTGTCTCAAGTAGATTATTTTAGTGGCTGCATCCATATGAGTGTCAGGAAAAGTTGTTTGATTTTTTGAGCTAAAGCGCTACGTAAAACTTGTAATCTTTTAGCAAAATCTAATGGATTTTCATTTTTATTTGGTACTGCTATAAACAGATCTTGTTTTAGGCATTCCAAATTTCTTTTGTCACCGAAGCAATCAAATAAAACAGCTTTAATATGATCCCAACAATCGAGTTCCATTCTGCTTCCTACTAATATTTGAGCACGATCTGTTAATTTCATTCTAACAGCTCTCAAGAGATAGTTGTTTGAAATTGGATCATTTGATTGTTTATGGGTAGCAAAAAGGAAGTCACAGGCTGATTGAAAACTGTTTAGCATACTAGGATCACCATTAAACGGCATAATGGTGTCTGCATACATTTTTAATAAAGTGTAATTTACTGTTGGGGTGCTGGTGAGTTTGGCATAGTGCTATTGGAGATTTTAATTGAGAAAAATGATATAACTATATCTTTGATTTCACTATCGTCACTCTCGATCATCAAAATTTAAGAAACTTATTTATCATACACTTACAATTGAATAATTACTAGTTATAGAATAGATATACGAATAAATTTGAAAATTGAGAAAATAATAATATTAGTAACTTATTTAAAATTTTCCCGATTTCTAACGAGGGAATATTAAAATTGGGCAACAGGAATAATTGAACACTTACCTTTTGATAGTCAGTCTAATATTTCTGGTATGTTGATTCTCCACTAACCATTACAATACAGTGTTCTGGCCTTAAGCTTAGTTAAACGAAAAATAACGTTAAAAGCATGAATACAAATATTTATAAGCTCTGGTTTGCTGAGTCTGCTTCTTGATAATTAAAAGCAACTCTACAACTTTGTTCACATAACTGGTTGTAACAATTATTCATTTCAAGTAAAATGAAGACAGGGTCTCCATCTTAATTGGGCCGTTACCTAATTAATTATTCATTTGTTACATCTTTTTTGGAATGTATTGGAGCGGGTGGTTTATTTTTTCGATAAGCTTGACCTCGGCATTCCGATAACTATGATAGGTGAGGGATATTGAAGACTTGTAAAATCGATTGATATCAATGGGGAGGAGTCTGTATTTTGTCGTACTACGCTATTCAGAGTGTCTTTGCGAAATTGCAGTATTCTTCTATCATCTTCCTTTATTGATCTATTTCATATTTCAATCACCCGATTTTAATACTTTGAACTATTTCCTATTTTTCTTTTATCGTGTCCAATAGTAAGAGATAGATATATTATTGAACGCAACATTTATAATTGTGTCAAGTCAACTGCTCAGGTTCATTGAAAAGTCTTTAGTACTCTATGGTCTTTAGGCTGCAAGTTCATTGGGTTGTAAAGACCAAGATCATGGCTTCTCGAGTTTCGAGTTTTCGGGAAAGTGCAAAGGGAAATTTTTATTTTTGAACATCCATTCGACTTTTCAATATTTTCATAGTTTGTTTTTTGAACTTAATTAGGCAAAATTTCTGATATCTTTTCATATAAATATTTTTGAGAATTATCTATTAATTTTCCAGATAAACGCTAATTTTAATATTTCCTTTTGAGTATCGTGGTGTGGGAATCAACTAGAAATACGCTTCAATTGGTCTATCAGTAAATTAATTATTATATTTTGAATTTGCTGGCGTGTTTCTATTTGAATTTCTAAAGAAAGTGTCATATTTCTTTTTTACCTTTTTTCGTTCGATCATCATTTTTCAACTGAATTAACTGTCATTAGTTTAACTAAATTTTATGAGAAACTCTGGTTTAATTCTTAATTTTCTATCTAGAATTTCATTGAATATAATTTGGGAATTTACTAGAATTTTCTTATGGCAGTTTATTTCGTGTTGACAGTTTTTGCTTATAAATTTTAAGTAACAAATATTGGAATGTCGATGATGTTATTAACTTAATTCAATTATTATAATTTCCTTCTTGCTACCTGAATGCTTAAAATCATGCTTATATCTTTATCTTCTGGTAGTATTTATTATTACACAAAGTTTTCTTATCCATTCATATATTGATAATTATTCGTCAAATGTTGCTTCTGTCAATTTAACTTGTGGATTTATTTGCCTTCTGAACCGTTGATGAGATTCATATTACTCAATTTTCTGAGAGAATGTCAACATTTTCGTTTTTTTTTTTGGCTTCCTTTTCCGAAGAATATGAGCAAGGAATGTGGTAGGAAATGATTCATACGTACCATAAAATTTATCTAAGATTTTTTTCGAGTCTTTTAACCTTTGTCCCTTGAAGGATGGGGTTTTCAGTGATTTTCGAATACAAAATGTTGTTTTGAGTTTGTTCATTGTCCGTTTACATTGTCGGTATAAAATTCAAGCCCTCTCTTATATCCAGGAATAAGATTTCCTTCACCGACCTTATTTTTGAAGTTGAGACTTCTTACAAGGTCTGAAATTTCCTAAATGTAGATAAAAGATATATTTAATTTGTTTTAATGTATCGATTTGAGCTAGATTTTTATACGAATAAAATTATATTGACCAAAACCAAGGCATTGATGTATTCCTGTGTTCTAATCTCGTGTGTGTATCAATCCATATCTTTTCTGAATCATCATCATCATCATCATCATAGGCAATCGTTCGATACCGAGTGTGATTATCTTCTACTCTAATTTTGCGTTTCCTGATGGCTATATAAATCAAATTTAGAGTCGCACACTCTTCCACAGCATTCGCTTACCCAGCTTCTGGCAGCATTGTCTATTATCTCGCTCCTTTCTGCGGTCCCTCTTTTCGATCTCGTGTCTGCGTCGCTATTCTTCAAAACTGTGTGGTCCGTCGTGGACTACCCGACGCCATGAGGGCCTATCATTTGCCGCCGTCTCCCAGTTATTGTCATGGATGCGGCACTTTACCATATTCTCCGTAAGAACATCCTTGTAGCGTTTTTGTTGACCTCCCTCCCTCCCTGATTTCGTTTTCCCTCTTTCAGTTGACTGCAGAGAATTTGTCGTAAAAGACGTGTTTCGGGCATGCGAACAAGATGACCTGTCCAGCGAAATTGGTGCTTAATGATGAGGGCTTCTATGCTAGTAGGATCTTTCTTAGGGAGCGCTAGTGGTATTTTTTTAGGCTTTTTATGTGTGTTGGTTGATCTTGCTCTGTATTGGCAATCACGACGTTATCATCGCATATTGAAGTCAATTATCGATGTCGTTGATACGTTCGTACAGGATTTCCACTCCTGATGGCTGGTGACCCTCGACAAGTTTGGATCCTATAGAGAAAATAAAATGGGTGCAATAACACAGCCCTGTTTAACGCCTGTAGTTATTTGAAAATACTCTCTTTGTCCATCAAGGCTTAGGACGGTTGCATTCATATCATCATGCAGCAGAGAGTGTCTGGATGTACTTTTGCGGACACCATACCTTCGCCAATATCTCCCAAAGAGCTTCTGTGTTGACCGAATCAAATGCTTTCTCTGAACCTATGGAGACCATGTATGGATGAGAGCGATTTTGTTCTCGGTTGTTGCTCATATGAAAGATTCCTTACCTAATCTTTGATTGCAACTGGATAGAGTTATGAAATTCTACCCTCTGCGCCCTTCGTACCATCACAACTTATAATAAGACTGTCCAGTTTTTTTTTCCTACTTTTAACAATGACATCAACTGAATTTATATTTTTAAATTTTCTTGCCTCGACTAGGATTTGAACCCAGGACCCTCGCATTTCTAGTGCAACGCTCTACCAACTGAGCTACCACTTCCACCAAAACTTCAAAAAAAAAAAAACATTATAATTTATTTTTACATGATTTTTATTAATGCTTCAGCCTGCTATATCAATTGCACTGTATTTTTCGTTCATTTTTGTTCAATAACGTTTCTTCCCATCAAATTTGAAACTAAATCTAAAGAAACAAAGACAAATGACATACTGTAAAATTCCAACGCCCAGGCCGGAAGGCCTAACAAGTTGGCCTGGCATAGATCATAAAACTAATGCCAAAACTTCAGAGCTAAATGTGAACACAATGGTAACAATAAAGCCCTGGGGAATATCTCTAAGCCCCGGTTAATGATAAATAAGTTGCCCTGGAGTCGGGGAAGCCGTTATTTAGCTTCGTAACTACACTTAGCGTAGCGTTGCACTTCTGCGGTATATTGTGTGTGCTTAATCATTCTGCTTAAGAAACAAGATGGTCGGGATAGCTTTCATATTTGCGGCACTGTTTCTTTAGGTATAAGGAAACAAAAAGGGACTTCGAGGTATAAAATTTATAAACTTTTGTTGTCATAAACCCTACAAGTAAAGTATCCGCGGAACAATCTTTGGAATTCAAGCCTATCTACATTTTTATTTAGCAGAAAATCCTTTATTGCGTTCCTTATCTATAGGCATTTTTCAAAAACCATCATTATTCTTTCACCAGAAATTAAACTTTGCAGATCAAACTGATTTTGTCTAGAGATCTCGTCAAATAATATTCAATTTAAGTTGTCCATTTTTATCAAACCAAAGAAGAGAACATTTACTGCCTTCCAATTGCAACTTGAACATTTTGTCAAATGGTATAATTACCTCTAATACCAAATCAGTATATCAAAATTCAATAGAGAGAATATGTTATTATCGGTCAGCAGATTGAGTAGATTATTGATTGAATATATGATTTGATTGATAGAAATATTTATACTAAATTGATTTGAAAGACCGACGCAACCGTTGCATCGGTACCCATTTGAATCTCTCAAGAATACTAGATCTCAGGGAGTAGCCTGAACACTATCTCCGGGATTCCATTGTAATTAAATGGGTTTCCAGTGTGACTATTAGCTAATAAAATAACCACCCAATGTGTATTTTCAATTTTTATTTAATAAAATCAATAAAATCATCAGGAATTTAAATAATATTGAAAAAAAATCCATAATAATTTTGATCAATTTTTTGTATTAGCACACTCCTACTGTTTGGCTGTCGGCTTTTCGGCATCTGTGGAACCGCATTTTGCTGCTTCCAGAATACCTTCAACGTCAAATATTTCGCTGCTCAATAGAGATTCTTTCTTGTCCAGAGTTTTCTCCATGTCCTCGGTGTCCGGTTTTAGTATGGAAGGATTCGCTCTAGTTTTCCTTTCCTTTACTTTACCACTTTTTGATATTGAGATAGTTTCCAACACTTCTGACAACCTTTTTGTAAAATCTTCATCTTGTTCTTTGTAATTTTGATTTTTATCAACAATAGGGTTTACGGTTTCTTCCATTTTCTTGTTTTGTGCCATTATTTTTCTTTTTTATATTTTTATTGTGGTATAAAATGGTATATAAAGCTTTGTGAAATATGATGTGTGAATTGACAACGTTCAAATTTGACAACACTATCATCA